AACTGGTAGTCCAAATGGTGTACTTTTCTGTAAGAAATTATTTGAGAGACTTGAACAAATGTATTTAAGGCAATTAAGGCAATTACTGAAGTAATTCAACAGCAAAAGTCTCACCAACTTTAACAAAATTTTTATTTTTCTATTTTTATATAGTTTTGCCATTTTATATATATATATATTGCTATTTTTATATATGAATATTTGTATTTTGCTATTTTTATATATGAATTTCCATTTTCTATTAGTGAAAAAGCTGGTAAATACACTTAAATATCAGACATAACACTTCCCACTACAAAGACGTCTGCAACTTTTTTGAAAAGCTCTGACACTTGCCTCATTTGAAGGCACCCTTTGAAGTTCCCTGGAATAGCAGAGATATTCTTTGTCTCAATCCATTCAAGTTAAAACTGAACTGTTTTCCTATGCCTGCTTGCTTTTCTTTATCAAGTTTCAGTGGACTAACAAAAAATAATATCAAAAGGACATGAACCCATGTACATAATAGCTGGGCAGTTTGCACCCCTGACAGAACAGTGGCAGTGTGCTGTGGAGCACTTACAGGTTGCTGAAGCAAAAAAAAAGCAGAGTGTCAGGACAGGCAGCAGGAAGGAGAATGAAATAGGTCAGGCTTTACCCATTTTTTTCTTAGACAAAGCGCAGAGCCCCATGGTTCTTCCTCGTTCACCAAATAACAACTTTACCAAGTAAGGCAATTACCTGAATTAGAAGTCACTACTGAAGGCTCAAATCCCACTTAAGCATTTGCTAAGGTCAGCAAGGGAAGCTTATACCTCCATATAATATTGGGATTTTTTTTTTTTCTAAAAAAAACAAAACAAAACAAACAAAAAAAAACCAACAACACAACAACAACAACAACAAAAAAAAACAAAAACAAACAAACAAACACACACCTACACCCCACAATACTAAGAGGTTACATGTTAGAAACTAATTTGCAAGGTTATTTGGGTTGAAAGTTAAGCTCTGGAAAATTAGGAAGCATCATATTTAAAATAACATATGATTTAAGCTCCATTTGCATTAATCCTCTTTTTAACTGTTAAGATCACATACTATTTTTTCCTGCAAAACATCAGCTCAGTTAACAGGGTGGTTCACAATATAGAACTACATCTGCACAACCCTAAATCAGACATTTCCCAACTTACAGGTCTGACTTTGCAACCAAACTATTTGAACATGCATTTCAAAATGTAGTTTCATTTGCGTGTTATGCTATAGGTGCACATAGTGCTTTATACGATGCAAGGAAAGATACAATAATAGCAACCTAAAACATCTTACAGATGAAATATATCAAAGCAATACTGAACCCTAGACAAGATAAAATGAGAAGTGAGACAGACTGAGAACCTCTTTTATGCTGAAAATATGTTTTTGAATAAAGAAAGAAATACGCCGATATTGCATTTTATAATGCTTAGTTAATGACACCAGTATCATTAGAAAACCTCTATTGCTACTTGAGTTTACAAGAAGGCCTATCTTCCATTATACTCATGCAAACCCTGTGATTTCAATAGGATTATATGGATGTAACAGAGCTCATTGTGACCGTATAACTAAATTAAGAATTAAACCCTAATACATCACTGTTGTCAAGCCAAATCCTAAGCCCAGCAAATATGTGAACTGAAATATGACAGAGGGACCAAAGCAAACCTGCCATCTTTTCCCCAGCCTCTGCCCCCATTGTACCACCTATGAATTTGGTGGAAAAAAGCTTTCAATTCACCTTGGTCAGGAGCTGCTAGAGTCAAAGAATGCACAGTGGCCAAGTTCTACCCCATGGGGATAAGAAACTGATTTTATTATTTTTTTCTTGAAGGTGGAATTTTACCAAGTATGTTTGTGTCCACCTACACTACAAAAATACTCCTGAAAGTATTGACAGAGTTCAGAATTCTTTCAAAGTCAAAAGATCCCAACCCCCCCATCTTCCCACATTACAGATTCCAGACTTACTCCTCATATTATGAAACCTAACAAGAGCACGGCAAACAAGCTTGAATGGCACACAGCATCAAGCTACAACCAGCAAGGAGAGGAAAAGGAGGAATCCAATCACATTCTTCCTCTCACCTACCAACTAGCAATGAAGGTTCTGCAAATAGCACTTAGTTGACACTTTTGATGATAACATGAGGCAGAAAAGACTCCAGCTCACTCTCCTATGTCAATATTGGTCCTGCAATGTTCATACGGATAAAGTATTTTTTCTGTTAAGTAATGCCACTGTCCAAGAAGCGGATGAGTTGAGCACCATTATACTGACTAAACACCCCATTTGTTGGGGAATATAGACAATTTTATACTATATAACACAATTCACTTAATTGTTATCCTATTACCAAGTAATGCAAATAACTTAAATGAATATTGATGATATGTGATAGGTAATTTTTAGTCATATCAGGATGTCGTAGGGCAATACAGTTTGTCCTCCTCATTTGGATGTAATCACATGTAACAACACTGAAACCATGCTCTTGATCATGCTTGAGGTTTTGCTAGTTCTATCCCTTAGCGCTAAAAGTAATCAGTGATGCAATATTACTGCAGAGTCAGAAACTGCAGTGTATAGACCATCAGAGACACAACAGCAAGCTGCTAGGTAGTGAGGTTTCAGGGAGTCACCACTGAACCCAAGTCAGAGTAATAGCACAACAGTACCCGGGGCCAGAAGCGGGGAAGTATAATGAGCTGTATACATCTTTTACAGGGCACCTCCAGATTTGTAATCATGCATACACCTAACTAACCTTTGGGAACAGACACAGCAACAGGGAAACAGCTACATTGTGCATTATGTTCTGTAGTTATGCTGTCAGTCACAATCTGAAAATACTTCAGCTGAGTAGCAGGTGCGCACTAGTACTCGCACTGCAAGTGTACACAGCTCACATCTTCATTTTCTTACTGACCTTTTCATAAACTGGCTAGAGTTAAGATCTTCATCTCACCTACTACTTCAGTTGTGAAGCTAGAATGACTGATGCGTACTCTTGCTACCTGTTCTCTTTACCCATTGTTGTCTTTAGTACATAGTTACCACCTGCTAACCACATTTCACTTTTGGTACAACTTACACCTCCTTTCACCCTTCAGTCAAAACCCCCACCTTGTAAGACACAATGAGGTAAGTCAATTTCGCAATCCAGTGGGTAGCATCAGGACAGAGCTGCAAGAACTCCACTTTGTTCAGAAACATACAGGAATGGGTATGTGTATGCATTGCTTCAGAAACGTGAGCTCTTTACTCATCCAGCCCCTACAATGACTGTAAGCATACTCCTTACAGCATTTAGGAACCATAACGTGTTCGAAGCAGTACACGCTTCTTATTCTGCATCCTCTATAAATGAGTAGTCCTTCCCTTCTCTGCCCAGAGTATACTGCCTCACAATACCAAATAACAGCTTTTCCCATACAAAGTAATTGCTGCATAATGATAATCACAATATCTTGTTGCAAAGCACTTACATGCTATTACAATCCTCCCATAACATGACCATGCTATTAATAATCCTTTTACAAGTGTCCTGTAGGAACTTGCAGCATCTTCACAGGAACTAACAGAAAACTGTTGAGTGTCACTATTGTCTCACTCCACGCTTGGGTAATAAATGTTTTACAACACATTCAAAATACATAGGTTGCTTACGCTTCCAGTAGTAAGTCTTGCAAAAAAATTAGGATTCCTGACAATCACATCACAAAGCAGCAATTTCTGACTGTGTGCCTATAACATGACAGGTGTCCCATGTTCACACAAATGAGCCCTCTCTGCTGATTGCGTTCACAGCTGTACCTGTCCCTACATCATTACTCATTTTACTCCTTTTATACATACAATCTTTTGCAGCTGTTACAAAGCTGTCAGGTGCAAGCTCTATTTAATAATAGAGCTCGTAGATTAGTTTGCTCTCAAACCCACATGTGAGAACCAAAAAATTCTGCTGGAGACACATTTAGCAGATCCTTTTCCTAACTTCATCATACTAACAGACTTAGAAACCACGCCTGTTCATGTACTATTTTCCTTCAGTAAAGTTGCTGTGATGTGCTATCCTGTTATAGTACATCAGTCCTCACAATTTACAGGTTTCACCTCTACAGATATAACAGAAAAGGCCTATTAAGTTCATTACGTTTTTACGGAAGGCAAACCAAAAATTCCCTCATAAAGATCAGTCTAAATTGGATTTCAACTTCAAAAGAGAAACTACAGTTCCTTCTCTTGTGGCAAGCAACGATGGTACTCTAGGACTGAGGGTTTCCAAAAAGAGCTACAGCATCTTACAGATTTATAGGACTCTCAATGAAGAAACTGTGCAAGTGGCCGTATCGCAGAGGTATTACACATTAGGCGGGTTCTCACGCAAAGAGACTAAAAGCGGGTCTTACTCTCAAGCGTTATTGGGGTTACTTGCACTCGGGACCCGCACGCCAGAAGTTGGCCGCCCTGGGGCGCAGGAGCCGCAGGGGACGCCCCGGGAAGCGGGGGCTGAGGGGCAGGAGCCCCCCGCCGCCTTCCCCTGAGGGTGTAACGCCGCACCGCCACGCGCCAACGCGGCCGCGGCCCCGCGCCACAGGCGGGTACGGCCCTCACACGCCCCCCCCTCCCCCCCCCCCCCCGGCCCGGCCCGCTCCGCCCGCAGCCCGACTGACCCCGCGGGAGGGTGCCCCGCTCCCGACGCCCCCTCGGCACAGGCCGGCCGGCGGCTGGGCACCCTCAGACCCGGCTCTGTCGCCGCAAAGTTGGCGTGAGACGGCGCCCGCCCCGCCAAACTTTCTCCGCTGCGGAGAGGCTCCTCGCGCTCTGTCCGCCAGCGCGGCCGCGCCAGGGCGGCGCGGGGACTCCGCGGGGCCGCCCCGCCCCGTCCCGTCCACCCCCCCCCCCAACTCCCTCGGGGTGGCGGCCGGGCGCACGGCGGCAGAGCTGAGGGGAGGGGGGGGGACACGGCACGTACCTGCTGCCCGCGACGCCGGCACCCGCGCAGCCCTGCTCCGCCAACGGTCCGGCGCGCGCCTCGCGCGGAACCAGCAGCGACGAGAGGAGAGGGAGGAGGGGAACGGCGGGCACGCGAGCTCGCGCGCCCGCCCTTCCTCCCGGGTCGCCTAGGAAACAGCGGGCCGGCGCTCGAGCCGGTTAGCGCGAGGGGAGACGGGGCGGGGGGGAGGCGTTTTGAAGGGGGCGCGCGCGCGTGCTCGCCCCGCGTCACGAGGGCGCCACCGAGCCAATCGCGGCGGCGAACGGCGGGCGCTGTAGTACTACGGGCTGGGGAAGGTGAGGCGCGAGAGGGCGGGGCGGGACCCCCGCCACAGGCCCCGCCCCCTCCCCCCGGTAGCACCCCTGAGGGCAGGAGCCGCCGTGTCGCGATCGCCGACCCCTGCGACAGGGCGGGCAGGTGGGAGCCCCAGGGCGAGGGGCCGCGGGGTGGGGGGGCCCCGAGGCCGCTCCAGCCCGGGGGCGGCGGCGGCTGGTTTCTGCCGGGCCGGCCGCCCTGGGGTTTGGACACAGCGGTATTCTTACTGTTCTGCCTGTTCTTTCTGTGTTTTGTGTTGTTTTTATAGGCGCCAGGATTACATAACTGCGTGCAGAGGGAGCAGCTGCAAGATTACACGATGCAGATTAGAGATTACGTTGATTCAGCAGATTGTCCTGTGCATGTCTGAGAAAGATTACACCAGCAGAGTTAAGAATACCCATTTGCTGTGGTAAGCTGTGGTTTAAGTGGAACAAATTAACTCAATACAAAATTAAATGCAAAAAAGGAAATAAAAAACTGCCAAGGTTAAGAACATGCTTGAAATGGACAAAATTAAAAACAAAGAGACTGAAATTCGAGTTTTAACAGTTTTCTCTCACACGATGAGCTGCTGTGGAATAGCTGGCACTGGCAGCAGTTAAACTAAACATTATCCAGACAGCACTAACGAATCAAAATCAGTAGTATGAAGACTAGTTACGTTAGCTTCCTGAGGGCTATCATGTAAAAGTAAATATATAAACTCTTATGATACAAATTTTTTAGTATCTCAAAATTATGTAAGTGGTATTGGTCTATTTTATTAAATGTCCATGTGCTAAACTGTCTCCTTGTATGCCCCTTTGTAATATGGATTTTTTGAGTTCTGATTTTGGATCTGAGTCTTCTGACATTTGAGAACTCACATTCTGATGGACACTGTATCTCCCACTGAGATATGAATAAAAATTAATCACGCAGTGAGAACCTTTAAGTTGTATTACATTTCACTTGATTTCTTATAAAGTTTAGGGATGAAACTTGGGAGTAAAGTGCCATAGAAGAAATCAGTAAGCACACAGAATGAAAGAATAGTGTTGTGGGTTTCTTTTTTCCAAGCTTGGTAACGATTTTTTTAATACAAGTGTCTTCTAAAATTTATTAACTCCCCCCACAAAAGCACCCACAAGCTCGAGACTGGAATCTCTATCTCAAAATTAAAACATGTACTACAACTACAGTAGTTACATTTGACAGAAGCCTCAGATGAAATGTAGCTTTGCCAACTTCTGTATTAATAACTCATACAGTAGAACTGGGGTTTAAGATGGGACTTTGCAGTTGGCTGCAAACTATGTTAGGAATGGAAAGTTTTCCCTTAAATTTACTGTAATGTCTTAAACTGTGATTTCAACATCATGACAACAGTTTTACCAGCTGTTTTGGTATATAATTAATCCTAGATATACTTCAGTGGATAAAACCAATATGTAAACCTAAACTTTTGCTGTAGGCATTCCTAAGGCAAGACGACTCAGTCATTTGTTGTCATTTCACAGAACTGTAATGGAAAGAATTTTGAACAACTGTATTAAAAAAAATGACCTGTCAATCACAAGCACGTTGAGACTTGTGTGCCATTTGGCATCTGCTTTCACTTCTGGCTTTTGTTAGAGTTCCTTCACATTGTGGTTATCCCATCTTAAAAGAAACTTTCAGTGTGTAACTTTGAGTAACACATTGTCCTTATACAAATTAGTTGTAATACCTCATCTTGAATTCTTCCTTATTGAGCTTTCCATTTGTTTCAGGCAGTTTGATGGATTTTTTTTCTGACGGTTGGTGATTTTCTGTGCTAAAATCAGTTATGAGCTTCATATGGTAAGGGTATTAGAAGTTGTCACCTAGATAAGAAAATAAGCAGAGTCCTTTTAACAAGTCTTCAGGACAGTTCCTGGCCCTTAGAGAAGATAAGAGGTATAGACTACTAACTGCTTGATAGCTATCAAGGACACATCTCAGAAGGAAATTTATGTTTAATTAGCCTACTAAGCAGATAGCGCAATTGTTAAAATTTTTTCCTTTCCTTGTTTTCACGACAAAAATATTTGAGCTCAGTATAGGGGCAGAATGAGATTTTACCTGTTTAGGATTTTTAAAAAGAATACATAATGTAATAAAATCCCATTTTTGAAGACAGCTGTAAGGTGCAACTTAATCTAAATGAACAAACAATGTATATTTGAAATATCCATGTGACTAAAATTATCTTCTTTAATTTGGGGGAGAGTTTATACAGAGATTAATTTTAAGAAAGTCTGAATAGCAAACAACCATAAAACAAACACCAGATCATTATTCAGTGCTTTCTTTTTATCTGCCGGTGCTCATTAAGACTTTCAGTTACCATCTTTTGGGGATACTGAATCTCATGGATGCTTAGAATAGTTAGCCATTAAAAGTATACAAAAATAAGTGGCAATAAGGTTTCTGTTGTAAGTATATGGAGAGTAAAGCACACAGGTCCATTTAAAGATAAATCTAATGAGTTCAAAACATTTGTTCCAACCAGCCCCCAGTATGGCCAGATGTTACCACATATTTTTTCTGGAGAGTTGAACCCATTGCAGTTTTGTGTCTGAGTGCTCAAATTTCCCAGAAATCCACCAGGAGTTCCCAAAAAAGAGAAACCTGTATTCTTTCATCTAGTGTTTTAGTGCTCAAGAAGCTCAAGGGTGTACAAATTTTCTTGTGTGGCTCACTTTAATCTGTGGTTTACTTTAATCTGTGGCTTCTCTGCTGCAGAGTAGTAACCCAATATTTCCATCACATCTGCAGTATTCAGTGTGACACACGCATACGTAGAGTTCATGCTTCATTCAGCAAAATACTTGAACACGCTTTAACTTAGGGATTCAGGATATGATTAACACTAAACATGTGATTTAAATCCTTTCCTAAACTGAAGCCCTTATTAACTGATCCAGACTATGAAAATAAAGATGCCCAGGACTTACAAGTAATTGAAGAGGCTAAAATAGTATCAGTATATATCAGTATACACAGATGACCTAACTTTTAATATATGAACTACAGTCTTTCATACAACGTATTGTCATTATTAATATCAGTTTAGATGACAAAGATGTGGGGAAAAGGATAGAACTGATCTGAAGTTTTTTCAGCAAGCCAGCACAGAGAAAAATAGGCTATATTTTACATTTCAGATTAAAATACTCTAACTTGATACACAAAGTAGTGTTTCAAGAACTCCCAAGATGCATGGAAGATAAGCATTTGAGCATTCATAGAATTAGATTCTTAGTTTCTGTGAGCATAGGCTACAGCTGTGTCTTAAAAGAAGACACTGAGTTTGGAAAGTGTTAGGTAGATGCACAAAAGATCTCTTGTGTTTCTAATACCAGGTCAGTTCACACATTGATATAGGCAAGTTAGAATCAAATTTAGAAGAATTTATCCTATAGCATTTACTTTTCTTTACAGCATATCAGCTTACTTCTCTAATGAGATAGTCCAATTTATTCCTTTTAGAACTCTGATACATACTTTAACTTCTGTTCAGAGTGCAACAAATACCCCAGAGAAAAACATTTACTTATAAATACATGACTACCTAATGATTTACTTTTCAGTCCTAAAAAAAAAAAAAGCCACGACTGTGAGTGCTGTCAGCAACATCTCTTTGAAAGTGATCTTTAGAACCAAATTGTGAAACTTATTACCGGAATTTAAAGCACAGAATTATACATATATACACATACATCCTCTTGGATTGTTTAAGAAGTATTTTAAGTATTTTCATCCCTTTCCTTCACATCCTCTTGGATTGTTTAGGAAGTATTTTAAGTATTTTCAACCCTTTCCTTCACCACTCCCTGTTTCCTTGAATGTGCAGGCAACAAAGTTTGAAAATGAACAATTAGTAGCCCCATAGCCTTCTTCAAACTGTCTTGTTCTCTGTAGTTAGTTTATAAACAATTTGTAGTACATGTAACAATTAGTCCTAGTCCAAACATCTGATGAGGTGCATAGCACATTCATTTAACACACTGATGCAGTAGAAAATTGTCAACTTCCTCTAAGGAATTGTCTGCTGGATAGTTGGATTTAAGCATCTCCTGAAAAAGTTCAACCTACACCAGCAGCAGTACCAGAGCAATAGTGAGATGCATACTGACGATAAGATAAAATAAAGGAGATGCAAGATCTCCTTTTTGCAGTAGCAAAATCAAGTTATTTTGTCTGTTCAAGGACCCATATCCTAATTAAATCTGGTAAAGGAGCTAGTTTGAAATTTAGGTTATATATTCTATTTATATTTTCTGTTATGAAAGCTATTGGATATGATACATTTTTGTGGAACATTCTGAGAAAAGGGAAAGTAAATTAAAAAGGACTGCTTGCTCCAATAAAATACAAATTTAAATCAGATTTCTGACTGCTGCATATAGTATTTTTATGATGCAATTCATTTATACTACATTACATTAATGTTTTGAATTCAGCAATAAATTATAGTACTGGTAACCCTAGAAAAATATGCAAGTGATTCTGTGAGCATAACGGGGTGTTACCCTATTCTGTACTTGGCTTCTGTATGCATGTTTGTCTTTGTTGTTACCTCACCCACACTGCACTATATGTAAATTTGAAGCCTCTTTAACAGCACATATAGAGTCCTGATCTTGACTGCTAAAAATAACCATCTCCTGGATGATTTATTTCTTTTAAAAACAGGATTTAAGTTCTGAAGTAAATCGTGTTAGTTTGTTTCTTTGTACCACATGCTATGTTAATTGTACTTGTCTGTGTACACAAAGTAAGCAAAGTTGCATATCTGTGAGACAGCCCAAGAGGACAGCCTTTGGGTGGGGACCTTGCTGTTACAGACCCGTGTCACAGGGAACTGCCATTTCAGATTTTCTTGTATGGACAGAACACTTAAAGAGCTACAGAAGCCATTTGAGGTCCCATGAAAAACAGAACTGTCTGCTTATACAGTAAGTACAAATGCACTGTACCTTATGAAATGGACCTCTACAGAAAGTTGCCTTTCTATTACTAAAAGATGAAGTATAGGCAATTATTTCTGGTAAAGTTGATGATTTATTTTATTTGATCATTTAATGGGAAAAAGTCTTTCTTCCCATATAGGACTGCTTGCCTAACTGTTTACTTTATGTACACTTTAAAGTAGAATTAATGAAAAAAAGCAAACATTAAAAACCAACATCTATCATGTTAGGCTTGTTCAGTAACCTATTTGGTACAGTAAGCCTTGACTATACCTTACAAGAAAACAGAATATAGCAATGTTAGATACCTATAGATTTGGCATGTCTACAGAATACGTTTCTTTTTAGCAACGTCAAGTGAAGATCGATTTCTGTCCAGGCAGAGAATTTTTATGCCATGTTTTAAAAATAATCGTACAAGACTTGGACCTTACTGAATTCTGCTAAATTCACGGCCTATACTACTAATTTCACCTGACTTCCAGACATGAGAAACACTCAGGTGAAACACACACACATTCTCTCTGAGAAATTAAAAATGGGAAGTTCTTGTTCATGAAATGCAAGATTTCTACCACCAAGATCTTACCTGACTGAATAATTACTGGTCTGAGGACTGGTTCAATTGTATGCACTGTCTTTCAAGGTACAAATATCAATTTAATAAGCCGGCCAGAAAAATACTTTAGATTGCCCAAAAGCATCAGGTATTACAATTCTGAATAAGCACTGCAGTTTGCAAAAAGTATTAATTCATTAAATGTGCTTTAGTGTGAATTTGGTTTTACTCTGTAGTACCACCCTTAGGAGTTCACTGAACTTGGCAGTAGACTTGAATGTTTGCCATTAACTGTGAATTAATGGAATTTACATATAATATAACAGTATATAACTGTCAAAGTACAATAAATGTCTTAGCAGCAACACTGAAACATGCATTCAGATAGCTACTCCTTCAAAGAAAAAAGTCACTGGGATTAAAAATGACACGATAAATTTACATGTTTGTCTTTAGGTGCTGTTTTAGAAGAATAGCCTTTGACCAAGAATAAAAGTTGTTGTCGGAATAATATGCGAACAGGTAATTTCTTCCAAGTCTTTACTTGGATGTGTATACATATATAATTAAAATTCAATAAAATTGCATTGATTTTGGCAGCTGCCATTGGGATTGTCACAACTGTTCTGTAGGACTGTCTTCAGGATCACTTACTGGTCAGCAAACTAGAGATCATCAGTCAGTGGGACAAATTCACTAAGGAGATGTTTGCTTTGACCAATCCCAGTATTTCACAGTTCATCATTGATTAGCATACAATCCAAAGTTGCTTATAAGTGAGGAAGCATGCTTCAACCCCTTTATCTCCTGTCAACATTTCCCACTCCTCTCCCTTCCCCTTTTTTTTTAGCAGACTTCAGGATTAGCCAGTCTGTAGTATTTTAGCCTCTGGACTGGGCAAGACAGCCAAGTCAACATGTGGATTTATCAAGGCTGGCTTGGTTCTTTGGGGGTTAAGGTGATGTTGAGCCTTTATTTGTTTTTCTTTTTAATAGATTGGACTGTCAGGTTACAAAAGTTTAAATGCAAACAGACAAGATAGTTTAGGGACAGGTTGTCATGCATGTCCACAAACGGAATCATTGAGAATCAGTGTATTTAGAGGCTGCTATTACCCTGCCAGTTTTGAGTATTCACAGTCTAGCATTACAAAGAACAATCTTGTTTCTTTCCTCTTCAATTCTCCTTCCACCAAAATCTGACTTTATTTAAAAGTAAACTTTGTGTCCTACTTCTCTTTATTTTATATCTCACATAGAAGGATATATCAAAATACACATATATATATTATGTAGAACATATGTTGATAGAGTTTGTACAGTTGTATTAATTGAAAAGCTAAATCTTTCATTTTTTTTTTTTTAATTGCCCGTCGTCACTTGACTTGTTAAACTTTTCTATCTTGATTATGGTAGTCTGAATGTAGTATACATTTGACTTTCAAAGCATACAATTTGCATTTTTAGATTAATATAATGTATTGACTTACCTCATGAAAAATCATAACACATTCACCGATGCTAATGTAATTGGGTTTTGGCTTGTATTGAACCCCTTCTGATTCTCCAGTACACTCTTTTGCATCACTGACTATAAATTTAAAGGGATAAACTGTTGCTTTCATACTTTTCTGTCTATAAATACAGAGCTGTAGCTTTCAAATTTGATCCAGCCTACTACATTTCAGTAAAGTGAATATGGAGTACAATAATATATATTTTTGTATTGCAACAAACCCCACTACTACTTAGTAGCAATTAATATTTTTTTTTTCACCATTAGAGCATCCTGAATTTTCTTTTATGCACTCTCACAATTTTGTCATCTACTTTATACTGTATTACTCTGGTACTTTCAGTAAGGAGTAGCAAAGTATTACTACACAAAATAGAACAAATGAGAAGTACAACTGGATGGAAAATGGGGCACCTGATCTACATGGACATAGACGTTTCTTCAAATATCTCATTACTGGTAAAATTAAGGTTACCATTTTTCCCTTAGCACTGGAAAGAAGTCTAGCTCTAGAAGGAAATAGCTGATAGAGAAATTGTCTGTAATTACAATCAAAAAGGTTTCAGAGACTTCCTAGGCACTTTTTGTTCTCTCTCTTCACCTCTCTCACTTTCCTCTAATAGGCCTAAGACAGAGTGCCTGAGGTATTTCGCCAGAACAGAAATGTCTAGTTGGCCTGCAGATCTGGTCCGTAATACACAGATCACACCATAACAGTAAGAGAATCATTTCCCCAAATGTTCTGAGACCTGAATGACTTGAGGCATTTAGTTTTCTTCAGTACTGTACCACCATGCCAGTGTGAGACAGGCCTATTTCTGCATAAAGATGAAAAAAAGAAATAGAACCATAAGGCATGATTTTAAGGAGGTTAACAACTTCTCATTAATTCTCATGAGAATTTCTTTGAGGGCTTTCCACAAGCTGTCTGAAGGGATTGTTCTGTGGGGCCTACCTTCAATCATCTTGCTTTTCCATCTGATAGAATTTCAACAACACTTAAATCCCTAAGATGCTTAATTGAGTTGAGAGCAGGTCAAAGTTGAGTTTTGCTTTTTCTCTCTTGATTCTTATAATTGTATAGATATTCTGATACACTGTTCATGTATTCAATACCCTCTCTTCATTTAAGGAAGGATGTAACCTTCAATTTAATTGCAGTCACGCAAGTTCCGCTGTTATGTTTGAATAGACTAAAATCAAATAATCTGTAGTTCTTATTTAAAAACCTGCTTGTTTTTTTCTGTTACCATTTAATTTCTATTGCAATTATACTGTTACCCATGCAAAATAATTTAAACAGTCTTTTAATAGTGAACTTGCAGTAAATGAATTGCCAGTAGACAAGCACAGAACGCTTCAGAGTTAAAATAAATTTCCAGTTAATTTCTAACAAGGTAGGGCAGAACACACGTTTCTGTCACGCCACATCCTGAGCCAATGCAACAAGGTCAAGTATGAACAATCTTTCCAGCCCTGCGTCCCTGCGCCTCCAGCTCCCTACTTCATCTACACACATGCAAAACGGTCCGGTTACCGTGTGGATGCTAGCACTTTGATAACATGACTGTGAAACTGAATTCCTGTTGATGAGCTCCGTGGCATAACTGCCTTTGTCTTAAAATAATAGAAGGACTTTATTCACACTCCCACATCAATATATCCTCATAGAAATGGAAGAATGTATGAAAAGATGGGAGAGTGGAATTACTAGAGATGGTCTAGTGTCACTGGATGCATGATGTTTTTGTTGCACAAGGCTAGAAGTAGCTAAACTTTTCTGCTACTCTTAGAGAAGTCAGGTTTACTTTATAGACAAAGCTGTAGAGGCTTCTTTAGGGTAGAATGTCTTATAGCCACACTTCTCACTTTTTTTCTGCAGGAATAAAGGGGACCCCTAACTCTTTTTCCTGAAGGACAAATAAGAAAATGAAAATCTTGATTCCTCTTAAACAACACTATATTTTGTATAGAACATATCTTCCATGCATAAATAGTAAGACAGCAGAATTCTTATTTTCAGAACTTCTGGGAGAAGTAACAGCAAAAGCAACACCTAAAGTGTGAGGTAACACATGATTCTCACGCTTGTGATATCAGAATACTGCTCTATTTTTCTTTGAGATATTACAGTTTCATAAGATTGAAAAAATATATAAATATATATATGCATACATATAAAAATGAGTTACTGATGCATTAAATGTACCATAAATCTATGCAGTCCAACTTCTAAATTTAAACTGCTTTCAAAAAGAGTGAAATGGTACAGTTAGATATTCTTTTTAATCATAAAATGGACAACTACTGCTACGGGAGCCAACATTACTATGCTGTATTTGGGGTTTTATTAGAATGCCTAGTTGTGTTTAACACACTAACAATTCATGGAAGCAGCCTACTGAATGAGGAAAAAGCCTTTCTAGGACCTGTGGAAATTACATTGTAACAGGCAGTCTTCTACACAAGTGACATTTTATAGGCTAGCTCCTCCATTGGTGGGTAAAAATTGGGGTGGGAAAACCTGATGGTGTCCAACTGTGCTAGGATTTGGCTCTTAATAGAGCCTGAAGCAGCCTCAGAATGTCCTGGCCCACACCTGACACTATTCTGGGTTTATCTGTACGGACTCCGATTCTTTCAAAGAAGCTCGTTAAACCACTGGAACAGGACAAACCAGACTTCATATAGGTCATGTGAATCACTGTATGGTTTGTGGTCATAAAAGCCAAATGAAGTAAGTTACTCTCACTGCAAAAGAAATTTTGCATTTATTCATATAATTTAGGTGCTTCACGTCTGATATGGTGATAAATTTGTGATCTGTTTGCATATGAAACGTGAAACAATTCTGCAAGATAGATAGTGCTATACATTGCTTGCCTGGAAGACAAGACTGATATGTTATTTGTTCATAGGGTGGTTTTGTTTGTGTGTGGTGGGTTGTTTTGTTTTGTTTTTTTAAGGAAGCCATCCCCTACTCCCCAAAAGTATAGTTAAGATCTCCTTTTATTGATAAAAATACAGAAGTATCTGGTTTTCTCTTGTGTTTGTTTTGGTCTTATTTTTAAGATCATGAAGAACTCTGTGGCACTACTTATGGATCTTTCTGTCTAAATGGAGGGACTTGTTATATGATTCCTACTGTATCCAGTCCATTCTGCAGGTCAGTGAAACTGAAGTTTGTGTGTTTAAGCATTGGACAGTAGCTGTCTAAAGACTATTTCTCCAGTGTGCTTCCTTAGGAAATTACTGTTAAAATGTTGTTATATAAAAAAAAATACCTGTTAGCTACAGCTGTTCCAAATTCAGTAATTCATGCTCAGATTACTTATCAAGCTTGCAGAGACATGACAAAATGAGGAAAATAAGCAGGGATACTTGGTATATACTTGTTTGACAGGTGCAACAGTACTGTTACGTACGTATTCAGGATGATATCTATATTTAGAGCCGTATTTCCTCCCCTCATTACCATACAGAAAGGAACAGAATACCTTTTGCCTCTTGGAGTATAGACTGTAGGAAATGCATTCAGAAATGCAAAGTACATTTTCAGTCGAATTATACTGCAAAAATTCTTATAACATAAAATGGCCTGACCCAAACAAATTAAGGAAATGTGAAAAGGAATATAATCTTTTAAGGGGGAAAAAAAAATGTAATTCAAGCCTTACTATGTTCTCTGAATCTCACTGAAATACTCAAAGGGCAGCTTTACAGTGACAGCCGAAGACCACTTGATAAAGAAGCATCAAGGCAGCAAATATAGCTACTTCTTACACCATTTGTTTACGGGACCACTCATCTTTTTGAAGCCCATGTAGCACACTGGAAAAGAAGCACTTCCTATTTTTGCATGCAGATACGTTTCCTGCATAAATACAGCCCTATCCTTTTATCTTCTCATTTACCAAGACATAAGAAGATGTTAAATTAAGTTCTAATTTTTCATGGTTCTGCACTTACTAATTCTGAGTTACCATTCATCAAAATATATTATGGTTAATTTAATGAGTTTACTTAACGTAATAATAGGCATTCAGACATGTATTACATATACTGAAGGATATTACCTTTTTTTTAATTCCATGGCAACTTCTGCTCTCTCTTCAATCTTGACCTATAACTAATGATAACTGCATGAAATGGTTGAAGAAGGAAACAAATTATTTTCTAAGATGCCTAATTAAAGTATTTATTTCCTTAGTTTGGGACAGTTCAATTTAAGCATTTAAACTCAAACATGTAAACTCAGCTAGTAGATGAAGAGAGAAAAGGCAATTCTGTGGTAAATGCTCCTTGTAAAATATAGACAGCATATCACTGTCATTAAGCATATTGTCCAGGGTCATACAGTGAATCAGATCCAGAAGTGAAGATAAAGTTCGGAAGCGCTGTATGATGATTTATTCTAACTACTAAACCTTGCAAGCTTATGTGATGTAAAATGAATACTACACACACAAAAAGTAAAACATGTTGAAATACACAGTTTTTGTCTAGAAGGAATCCCATATTATTGATAATAAAGTACTTAAATGAAAAAAGAACAACTGTTTACTTTTGGAATTTCACTTATTTTTACCATTCAGAAATGTGTGTGTGTGTACATATATATATACACACACACATACACACAGGGTAGACTAAACAGCATCAGTTACACAATTTCAAAGCATCCTCTCAACTATTGCTAGACTGTGTAATGAGGAAGATGTATTTGATGCAGTAACTGTAAATATGAAGTTACAAATACTCAGAACTTAATCCTTCAGGAGCACAAGCTAGTCAGCACAGATAATTTCCACTTTAAAAGGGCTCCAAGTGAAGTAATTTGTAATTCAGGTACTAGAGGATTTTATAATCTGCTGAAGCAGAAAAGTAATATCTTAAGAGCATTTTTGTTATACTCAGGCAATCTTATTGCATTTAAATTATCAAGTATTTTTCTTCTGTATCTAGTGGTTGATTATGAAGTTACGTGGGTTTAAATAGCAGCATTCTATTTAAGCATGTCCTCATTCTAAGCATGTTCCTTAATCAGTCAGAGAAGGCTAATTATAGATGAGAAAGCTTTTGTTTACACACAGATATCTTAGTAATCAGTGGTGATGTGAATAGAAACAACAGAAAAAAATGCATCACTATTCAGCAGAATTCAGAAAAATATTCTATGCTTTGGAACTTCAAGACTGGCATCATCACAGAGTTGTTCAAAGTTTCTTTGATGCAGGTTTCTGCCAAATCCCACCTAAACCTTCTAAGTGTTCTCAAATGATCATCTCCCACCAACAGAAAAATTGAATCAGTTTTAGAATCAAAGGCTGAATGATCATTAGTACAGCATTGATTAAAAGGAGGAAATGGAGCAAGAACAGACTAACAACCTTCAAAAATACTGTAAAACACATTTGCCTTGACAACCTACTTATTTACACAAATGTGTTGTGCTAAACACAGTTAGTCCAGATTACCTGATGCAACATCCTTGGAAGTTATTTCACAATGTAACTAGGAAAACTGCATCATTCTTTAGAAATAGGCGTTTTGTAGCGTGCTAACAAATTAAAAGCCACTGTTTACTTTTGGAATTTCAGTTATTTTTACCATTCAGAAATGTGTGTGTGTATATATATATACAGGGTAGATTTAACAGAAAGAAAACATCCCTTGACCCCCTCCTCCCCTGTGCAACATTAGCACATTTTAAATACAGCTGATGTGTGTTAAAACATGAAGTTGCTCAGCTGCCATCTTCCCTCCATCCTTTCCTAACAATGAGTTAGTGCTCTCCGCAGCACAAGGTGCACCTGTCACCATAAACAAGATGAGCTTCAAAGCCAGGAATGCTCAAATGTACTAAATAAACATGCAGCAGAATGGAGAAGGATGGAAAAGCAGCTGCCCCAGGTGTATTATAAAACATGAAGCTGAAAGCTGTTTGCCTCAGCACCTGATGCACAGCTGTCCCATAATCATTAATTAACACAGTGCAGAATTTAGTGATGATTTTGTTGTCTGAGGGGAAGCTCTGGTACTTCCATTTTGTCTTACACATGGCAGAGTCTTGAGAGCCTTCTTTCAGTATTTCAGACAAATTACAGATGTTGTAAGACCACACAAAAACAGCTCCTCTACTTCTGAGGGCAGAATGCACAGAAATTAATAGTGAATGCCCTCCTTTTGAGGGAGGGATCATATTCTGCACAGGGCAGTGCATTCAGGCAAAGTACTGCAAGGGACAGAGGCAGACCTTGGAAATCTCCCTGATTTTCCTGTGTACAGTTAAAGGATATTTTACTTTCCCCTTCCCTTGCTTCTACCCTAATCCAACCTCTCCTCCACTTTTCCGATACTAATCCAATAAATCCTGTGCAAAATCCTTCTATCACTTTCTGTATACCCCATCCTTGTCTGGTTCTTCATCTGAGATGGGTCCTTCATTCTCTTTTTCAAATGTCCCCACGAGTGATATACTTGCTGTGCTGTAAGCCATCAGAACATACACACTGCAAGTTGTCAGTGAAGGGCTTCCCACTCGTCTGGGCTTTTCTTCTTTCTCTGCCTCCAAAACTGTACTTCCACATACCCCAGACTCTTCTGAAAAGAAAGCATCCAGTTAGTATTTCTCAATTCTGCTTTTAGCTTGAAAGGTAGGAAAAAAAGTTAAAATACAAACCAAAAGTATAGCCCAAAAACCCAACAATTAAGATTTATTTTTAATGGGACATAAAATATAAAATGCAACATCATCTTACGTGTTTGAAAAGTATTACTGATGTGATCAGGGCAAGATATGGTAAAGCTTCCCACATAAACACATAGCTGAAGGTGTTCTAGGGGAAGATAACCCACTCCTTCAACTTTTCTCCAGTAGTAGCACAAATTTTACTTTTCTATGTATATGAATACAGTTTCAGAGTAAGTTTTGAAACTCCTCTGAACACAGAACTTTTTAAAAAGCTGCTTAGGACTTCCATTTGACTTTGCCATTGCTTATTCACTCTGGCTTTAAATTCTTTTTCATACTTACTAGATGCTCTTATAGTGTAGGGATTAGGACAATTTTTGGGAGGCTGCTACAGACTAAAGATTATGATTTTTGAAGCTATCAATCAGACATGTAATCTGAATTGCATTGACAAGCAGATAATTTTTCAGCTTTTTTCTGCTTAGAGCTTTATATTTACAAGCAAGTAATTTTTATACCAAGAAGCATCCACATTTTTCCAGACTAAAAGAAGACTAAACAAAAATTAAAGTTAAGACTCTTACAGTATAATACTAAGCAATGAGAGTCTGTGTACATATTTGGCTCAAATACTACTTCAATTTTTGAAGTCTGTCAGATACTTGCTTATCACGCCCACCTTAGAGTCTGGAAGAGAAAGAAATCTTACCTTCTAACCTAAATCAGACAGGCAGTAGATCACTTGCACTGTCTCATTGAACTGCATCTGCAAACAAGACAGCAGCAATGCCTTGTGTTACTGGCGAGCTATTATGCTTATATTTCAGTTACTGATCAGATTGTAAATGATAATATAATTGCAGACTTGCTGGTCATCTGACATCTTATCCAATGCAGTCTATTTTCTTCCACCTTGTATTGATGCTGATATGGGTAGTTTTGATTAATATCTTATATTGGAAAATTCTGTGGCTTTCTTTACATATATTTTGTAACATATATTATGTTAGGGTTTTGTCTCCAGCACAGCTCATATGGTAAATTTGTATACAACAGTTAAGGCTGGCTCATCTCATCTGACAAGAAGGTGTGGGCGTGTGTGCATACGTGTGCAGGCATCTAGGAAAGCAGAAATCTGGATGCTATCTGAAAATGGGAGTTTCTAGTCTCACAGCTTTTTCTCAAACATTTGAAGGCTGTTGCCTTTCAACTCTGATTAGAATTTCTATTTCAATTTCTTAGAGGAGGAAAGACCTTTTTTTCACTTTAAAAATCAACTTTGGAATGCTACTCAGTAGGACCATTTAAAGCCAAGAGACAGCATGTGCCAAAACAGTAGGCTAACGGCCTGCAGATGATGTTGCGCAACAGCAACACCTGGCCTAGGCACCACAAGACTTAGCATAACTCTCTCTTACTATAGCCTAGAAGCAGCTTCTCTGTCTTTTGTACTCACTTACACCTTCCTTCATTCAGAAACACAGTTGCCTACCATATTAAGAACTACAAGTGTGTCATGTTTAACTTGTGCTCTACTTTTAGGCAGCCATTATAAACAAGATAAACTATGAGTTGCTACTGGCTTGTAAGACTGACTATCTCAAGGCGACACTATATAGGTACCATCAGTCTAGATTATGTTCATAGCCCACATGCTTGTTAGAGGCTACTTCTCTGCCTTGCTTGCAGTCCCTGTGTATGTAACTCCACTGAAAATACTAGAGCTCTGCTAACGCATCACGATAAGCAGATCTGAGTGAGTTCCACTGCTAATTATTGAAGTTTGCTTGGTTTCTTTCCCACCAATTTTAGGAAAGGGCTTTCCCTCTCTTGGTTGTCTTAAAGCAGCAGTTGCTTCTATATTTAACACAGTCCTTCACCTGTTCATGCATCGGCACTGATGATTTCATAAAAGCTTGTGCAAGCCAGTATTTGAACATCAGGATTTTCAGAAATGCCTGAACTGTAGCAGAGCCTATTGGTAGGGTCACATCAGCCATAATTTTGTTTATTAAATGTAAGCAAGAGATACCTCATCTCAATTTTCCTGCTCCTATGACCACCTCCATCATTTTTAGGTTATATGACAGTATTTCCTACATGGCATGGAATCACTTTCAGCAAGTATGTCAACAGGTTAGCCTAGAGAAAGCACACAGGCAGCTTTGTAATCCCTGATCTATTGCACACGGTAAAACAGGTACTATCAAACTGGCAAGTTATGGAACACATGTTTCTAAAACTTGTCTTTGTTACATCCAGGAAGAATTAACAGGTTCAGCATCCGGGATGTTTAAGTTTTGTATGTGCTTTTTAGTGTAGGTCTTTTTCCCTTTGCTATAACCTTGGATTCATATTGGCTATAGTTTTCCCTTACAGTTTTAGGCCTCCTGGCTCCTTTCCCTCTTGAAGACTTGTGACTACCTTCAGCATCTATTTCTACTTAGTAGAAATTGGCTACCATCTCAGTGACCTTTTTGCTATGCTGTCAGCACATTCCCATTTTTTTTTCCATGGTCTTTCGCAGAACATGAATATGACTTCTATGTACTGTCCGTGCTAACTCACTCTACTGTATCACAACAGTTCTCTAGCCCCAGCCCTTTACCTAATCCTATATGCAACACTCTGCAGCTAGGAGGACCGCTTTTTCTTCTTCCTGCTTCATTTTTCTCCTGAGGCTACTGACTTACTCCCTTTACACTCATTCTCTAGAACTTTTCCATGAGCCCTAATTTGATGCCAAAACCTATTTATTTTTCCTTCCTGTATCATTGTAGCCTTGCATTATTCTCTGGTTTTCATTGGTATTCCAGAATGCTTCTATGAATTTTATATTCCATTTTCTACCCCTGTTATTCTATTCAGCTCTCCAAAGCATTTCTCTCTCACTTGCTAGAGAACAATGCCCCACTCAAACTACACTTCTATTCTTAAAGTATTCTACAGTATTTCAGAAATAGGCAACTGAAATGCCACTTTACTTACAGTAAATATCTGGAACATTATTTCAAGCAATCAGAGCAGTCTACCTACCCTTCCTTATCCCAGCAGTCAAATATAGTAACTTTGAAAAGTCTCACATTGTCCTTAGTAAATGGTGGCTGTTTGATCAGTTGCAGAGCTTTAATACATGATGATAATTAAATATTTTTTATAGTGTCTAAATTTTCCATTTAATTTCCAAAGGCAAATTGAAAGAAATGGTAGTAATTCTTTGTGCAGTAGTTTAGACCTGTAGTACTGAAATAGCGGTCCATAACCTACAGAAAGCGGTGCTAGGAGTCACACCAAGCATGCATGTTGGTATGCTCACAGTGATCCATTTGTCTTAGATATGCTAGACATCTTTCTTTTCTGGCAGTTCCTCCCCACTCCCCCTTCTAATCCCTCATCTGAAATTATACCTTGCAGCTGCCAATGGCAGTGGAGAACTTCAAGTATGTTACGGAGTTCAGCCCATTTTTCTCAGCTGGAGCCCGAAATTGCTTATGTCACAGATTATTATGACTTCAGTGCCAGAAACAGCAAGATCTTTAGTAATACAAATAGAGAGAAGCAAATGTACATGCATAAAAGTTACATACATAATGTAGTTATTGAATCAAGTGCTTTCCATTTTCTGTAATGCAATAAATTCCTTAAGAAAACTTAGCAGAATAAGTGCAAAATCTAAGACAAATGAAGATTAATTTAGCTTCAGCCTGTCTGGTTTTGATTCAATATGAATTACTCAGCCATTCATTTTATTTATTTTTAATAAAATATCATAGCACTTTACCATGGTAAAATAATGTATTAATTTTAATCCTTTCTTCAGAAAAAAGTTTTCAGAAGCTCAATACATAAAATAAGAATAGTAGGGAAGATTTTTAGCTAGGTCTCTCCGAGAGAGGGTCACTGACCAAGCACATAACATGTTCTGGCATGAATTATTACACTGCATAACCTACTTTTGTAATTTAAGGTGTACTGTGTCTCAATGAATTCCCGTTTCCTTGATCTGTTTAGCTGACAGTACCAGGTCTTCAACAAAGCTACATGAAAGGGGGAAAAGAAATCATGGCTACCGTGTGAAAACAAGTAGGATGACACAGTTAACACTAAAGAGGTGGATTTAATTAATTAAATCTGCCAGTGGAGGAAGCAGATTTTACTGCAACGTATACCATTGTGAAGCATATTGCTAATCCAATGAATGTATTAAGAAATATATGATTTAATATATATATAAGCAGTATGGATCAGAATGTAAACTTGATGTTCAACATGCCCAATTCCCTTTGTTCCAGAAATATGAGGTGAGTGAAAATTCCATAAGAAAACCTATGTAGCAAATACAAAGCTTGAATTATGCTGCAACAAGTCCTCTCCCCACTTAAGTCCAAAAGAAGCCTTTGTGCTTTTCATATTAGAAGACAAGTTACCATCTAATCAGAATAAAACTTGGTTTCCCAGGTGTATTGAGAATTACACAGGAGCCCGTTGTGAGGAAGTTTTGCTGCCCAGCATCAAGTCCCAAACAAAAGGTGACCTGTTTGCAGCTTTCTTGGCTTCACTTCTTCTGCTAGGAGTTCTTGTAATTGGGATATTCTACTTCCTTTGCAGGTAAAAGTGCTTCAGAGTGCTGAAGCTATTTAATCAAGTAGAAATTTCTTCTGGTAATCATGTACTAATTATTTGAATGTAAAAGTATGCAATGAATTATCCATAAGGTTTATATGGTTATTCAGCATAATTAATGTGGATGTCTCAACTTGTTGCTTGTAATATTTTACTTCCTGGCTTATACTTTTCTCAATGTCTTTTCTAAGCTATTACGTGCAGTTGATTTGTAAAAAATACATGTCGTACACCAATTTCTAAGAGGTTTTACAGTCTACCTAGAGTTAGTGCTAACATTTTAAAATATTAGTCAACCCTTATGTTGTCCAAAGACTGAGAAGTATAAGCAAATTACCAAAGTGCTTAGGGATCAGAAACTGTTCTAGTGCATTGAACTGGCAGCCAAACAGACTGGTGCCATTTGCTCCCAATTCCTTTATAGCTCTTGGTTTAAAAATGAAAACTAAGGAAAGAATCAAATTCAGAGATTAATCCCAGGCAGATGTTTATTAACTAACATCTAGAACAAATCAGAGGGCTAACTCATTTATCCAGGATGATTCATGTTTGAGTAGCATGAAAATGCCAGTGCTAGACAGCAAGTACTGCAGGTTTGAGTTTAGTAGCATTTTTGGCATATTAGGACTTCAAATGAAAACACATAAACAATTACTGGGAATAAATCAACTATGTGATGCTGTACCTATTAGTACAGTGTATCAGTACACTTATACCAAAGCCAAACAAACTTACAGTTTTTGCTTACTCTCTGCATTTATGTATGCAAGTCAACCTCTCACATCCCCTCTTGTTTTTAGAGTATAGCACTTTTTGTAAGAGCTCATTTTGTCATATACTGTTAATAGGTATTTATGCCTTTATGAGGCAACTTAATAACCTCTGTAATTCTTAGCCATCACAGACTTGCAGCCTCTTCCTCTTTCTCCTATGCTGTATTTCTCCTTGGTTATGATAACCTAAGGTTCTTGCAATTCTGTTCTTTGCTCTCCATAATCACATTGCCAAATCAACCTCTCTGATCAGTGCCTTTCAATGAGCGACCTTTGGAATAGCTGGTCTAGTTTTACCTCAGCTGCTGTCATGGAAACCCACTGAATGCCAGTTTCCCCCATAGCTGAATATATTTAGAAGAGATAGAGAGCATTTGATAGAACAGAGTTTGTATAAAAAAACTTGTAAAGGATTAATCCTGTCTTAGCAGTGGAATGCCAAAGTTGTTGTTCACTAAAGAACATTTGCAGATTATTATGAAGTTATTAGAACAGAAATACAACTTTACCTAACTAAAGAAAAATTCATTCAAGTCTCACAAAGGTACGGAGAGTATTTCTTCAGAAGCAAAGCTTGTTTCTGAGAAAAGAAGTCTTCAGAGAGCAGCTAATTCAGAGAGTCAGCTGTCAAATGATCCCTTTCCCCCTGTAAACAAGTAAAATTAGGGAAAGGCTGGAGACACAGTCTGCTGAATTTTTGGTCAAAGAGCCTTGTGTTGCAAAGTACAGAAGCTTAGAACAACAGCAATGACAGGTCTGTGCAAGTCTTTTATTAGACAGATGGAAGATGAACCTCAACTACTCCATTTCTTTGAAGGAAATTAATTTACTCAAGCTTTACCTAACTGGCAGAACAAATAGTAGGGCCTCTTTATTAGAAAAATAACAAGGGCAGCAACTCAGCCTTAACATAGTTGCCCTTGAACCTATTTTACATACCAGACTAGCTTGAGAAATCTCATAAAATCACGATCAACTTCTTTAGTATAAAGAAAAGAATGTAACTGGCTAAAAATGGTCTTGTCTTACCTTTACACTTCAGAGGCTGATGTAGCACAATAATCTTCTGCTAGAGAACTCCTCAATAAAAGAAACACTTTACATCTAAAAGTCCTTATCTCTTGACTGAAGTGACCAACATAAGGTGTCTCAAGTGGATACTTTAATCTCTTTCCCTCTTTTCAGCTGTATAAGCAAGGATTATTGCTGGCAGCTGTCTTCTTTTATTTTTTTTGGTCCTAAGTTTGATCTACCACCTGTATCATAACATTCTGAAAGCGGGTGGAAGAGGGAGGAGCTTGTAAGGGTTAGGTTAGCTGAGAGTTTGTGTCATCCTTGATTTGTCCTCTTGATAGGACATATTAAATTTAAAATTTTAAGAGAAATATTGTGCTATCAAGTTTTCACTATGACACTTTATTAACAAATATGTTTGATCCAGAATCAGAAAGCAAAGAGGCTTTTTCCCCCCATAGTGTGTGTTAGTAGAGCATTTCTGTGTCTCCTTCAGCAGAGGAGTCTAGTATGGGTTTAGTATAAACAGTAATGCAATCTGGAAGAATTCAAAAGAGGAGATACTAATTGCAATTTTGGATACAGAAAAAATCCATAAAATTATACATAAAATCTTTTAGAATATAGGACATCAGTGCCCTACTTTCTTATCCATGTTATCACTTGCACCCCCTTTTCCTTTCCAAGTTTTCCTCCTCTCAGGCTGCTTGGGGCAGGTCTCAGGACCGGATGTGCAGGTGCATTTAATGCTCCACACAAACAAATCCATTCAGCATACGAGGGTAGAGAGAAAGGATTTCATTGCTCCGATTATAAAATCAAATTATAAGTAATGGTGAAAGTAAGAGGGAGAAGTGGTCAAGGACTGGTGTTGAACAAAAGCAGCTAAAAACTGGAAAAGATGAACAGTAGTCTAGGGTTGAATCTCCCGCTGTTGCTGAAACCTGCTGAAAGAAAGGCTACTGTAGAGCTATCTCAGTGAAGCTCAGGTTGATAGAATATAATTATTTAGGGAGTAAACTGAAGAGCTTTAATTTACTTTCTGAAAAAATGATGAGGGGTGTTGTTGCAAATAATATGCTTTTATGTCTCCTCAAATATGAGTGTTGTAAAACGATTTTATATCAGGTTATAGGAATTCATAAGAACGGTACAGTCCACACACAAAATTAGTGTGAAAACCAGTTCAGTATACTAGCTTCCTATGTTTCTTTATCAAGTTTTATCCAGGAATGTGTTGTTTCATACACAATAAACATTGCTTCTCTGTCAAGAGGTGAATCCTGACCTTTAAAGAGCATTCCCAGTTCTGTTTGCTACATTCCTGTAAGAGCTCAGCACATAAAACTATTGCTATTTCTAACTACTGGAATTCACGAGAAGATACAGCATCGTGTCCACAGTTATATTTTAGCAAAGATAGTAAAATATTTACATTGTGAATGTAAAAGTTATCCATATATATATATTTTTTAAATCACAACTGTTTTCATGAGAGCGATTTGCTATTTACACTGAAAAAATGTCTTGGATCAGAGTCGGCTTCTGTGTGGCTTTAGGCCCACAAACTGCACAACCTGTTAGCAGAGCAAAGTGTGTGGGGGTAGAGCAAATCCAGATCTAGCCGCTCTCTATCTTGAAACAAACACACACACGCCCTGCCAAAAAATGGTACTGATAAAGCCTGTTGTTTTGTCCCGGGGAAAATGGGAAAGTGTGCAAAAATCCTTGCTATTACATTGTTATTGAGGTAGCAAATGGCGTATTTTGCTACAAGCAATTCACCTATCAGTACAGGTCCATCTGGCCTTTCTCCAGAAACATACTGTACAAGAGTTACTAGAAGAATAAGAAAGGTAGCCAATTAGTATAGATTCCACATAAGCTAGCTTCTATTTAAAAACAATATAGAGGCCTGAACACCACACACACACCCCTCAGAGGAACAGAGAAAACCTGAGGGAAAACTAAAATAAATCTGCAATTCATTTCCATACTTTATTATAAGTCCATGTTGAGATACCAAATTACCTGTAAGGGAAGTGTGTAATGATGAACAGGAACTCAGCCAGCCAAAACAGCAGGGTCTAGGAATAAAGCCATTTAAGCTGTCCAAAATAACAGACTTTGTGGAGGAGTTGTATCACCACAGGACACAAACTGGACAGAAAGGAGAACAGCTCATGACTCTTCCCAAGAGAGCAGATGTCTAAGTACTATTAAAAGAAGGGGAAAGAGACAGCAAGAGGTCAGCTCTATTTAAAAGATCTGTTTCTCCTCAATAAAGTGTGGAAAATATCACCTTATTGCTATTTCACTTCCAAATGCTAAGGCAGTTAATGATAAATTACATAATTTTGTGATATCTACTAATTGCTTAAATAAAGACCTGAGAAATCAGACAAACAGGAACATTCACTTCAGAAGAGAAGCCATGTAGTTCTGAGTGCTGTCCCTGCCTCTGATCTCTGCTCTTCTCCCTCACATATGTGCTTCTCAAAAATCTTGAGTACTAATTAGAAAGTAATTGCAGAAGATCCATGTCACTTTTTTTCAGTGAAAGCATAATTTGATTAATTTGTCTCTTCTATGCTTTTTCACTCTGTGTGTGGTTTGTTTTGTTTTGGTTTTGTTTGTTTGTTTGTCTCCCCCCTCTGTTGTCTGTCTTTTGTTTCTTATGGTCAGGAAAGCTTCCATTCCAAGGACAAGTTCTTCAGACTGTGGTGCCAACCTGGTTGAAACTACAAGCAGCAATGGCTGCAACAGTGAGTACGTTTAAAGTTAAACGATTGGACTCCATAAGGAAGGCTGGGGAGGGAGTTTTAATTTAAAGCATGTGTTTTGTTTATTTTTCAGAAATAATAATAGAGTAAAGCATTAGAGTGGAAGAATGGTGGGAAAACAACATGCAGAGCAACCCTAAGAATACAATAGTTGTAGAGGATGATGTGGTAAGCAAGATGAGAGAAGAAAGTAGACTGAAATAGGAGGCTTACTTACGTGTTGGAGAAGACTGCAACTAAGACATAAAGAGAAACAGTTGCACTTACTAGAATTTCTATGTATTTTTAAAGGTGTATCAAATTATACAGAAATCACTATAATCACTATAATTTATGTTTGAATTTTGTGAGATTTTTCATGACAAGTTACTGTTATCAATAATGCACAGGTAGAAGTATGAGATAATTTTGGTTTTTACTGCATGGGAAATAAGAATTAACCGTTTTTTTCACTGCACAGAGAATATGAGACAATCATAGGGTTTTTAGCATGAGGTAACACTAGGAATTTTTCACAAGATTGTCCTTTTTCACAGAACCTCCCCAGAGTTGAGGACTGTCTTGATTCAATAGTTTCAAAATTTACACCTGTGATACATGTCCAGAATTTGGCTTGTTTCAGATACACTTACCAGATGTAGGGAAAAAACCAAAAAGTACTTTTCTCCAGCTAATACTGACTTTTTTTTTTTTTTTTTTTTTTTAATAGTAAGACAACATGAGGATGAGGTACCACTGCTAGTGTACTGGCCAGCTTCCTGGCACAAGACTTTAATTCAAAGAAAACATTAAGATATTGGTAATGGTTAAAACAAGTTTACTAGGCAGAGCATTTACCCTTTGTTTGGTATACATCCCTAATATTAAGCAAGACACCTTCTTTGATGGTTTTATTTTTGTCTTGCTTTCTTCTGAAAATCTCACTACTCCAGGAGATTTAAACCTTATCTTAATTTTTTCAGTTGATATTTCAGATACTGTAAGTCAGGTATTTTATTCATCAGATCCATTCCTGACACAAAATATTAATCAGGCAGGTGTCTTGGCTGAACAAGTGCTGCCCTCCCCAGAGATTTATTTCGTTTATTCACATAACTGTTTGTTGATCACACCAGTATATTATATGTTACTATCTGGTTCCTTACGGGATTCTCTTACTCAGACAAAGAGAGGCCAAATGACATGGTCCATCTCTTTTTTTGCCTTGAAAACACAAAGAGACAGTCTGGTTAGTCAGAGGCATAGAAAATGTGAACTGAACAATTTTCTTCTCAACTCATTTCTAGCACTGGAGGTTGAAACCAGCAAGAATCAGAAATGTTTCCATAATGCCACATTACCTAGCAGCTCATTATATGGGATTTATAAAGTTGTACTGAAGAGAAAATTAACTGAGAAACTTTCAGGAATTGAAAGAAGAGGAAATGCAGAACGCAGATTTCTTATATGTGAAATAAATAATCTGGAGGTGTATAAAAACATAGGTGCAAAGAAAATGCTGAATAAGCTTCTATTCCTAGGGTGTCTACTACACACTGTAGTGTCAGAGAAAATAGTGTGCATCTTATATCAATGTAGACAAAAGTATAGCAAGACCAAGAAGAAAAGACATGGTGTTACAGTGTATAAGGTAAGAAGTCCAAGAGAAAACTGCATTGTAATAGCTACCAGAACACAAAACAGAAAAATACATTACTTTCTGAGGACTCGTGTCAGAGACGTTAGAGTCCAATTTAAAGCTCAGCATCTGAAGGGAGAAGCTGAGGGCACCAAATCAAGTAGAGGCCCTGACCCAGAGATTAAGTTGTATAAAGCACTAAAAGATCACTTTCTCCCCAAATTAACTGATCTTATATGTTATTTTCTGGACTTCAAACCTTTGGCAGATACTCTGAAGGAAGCTGATAATCTTGTTTTAAAGGCTAGGAAAGATCAAAGTGATTTTTCATCACACAGGGACATGCCACTGTTAAATACAAAGTTTAGGAGATTTGTAGCAGTACTGACAGCTACATCAGAATCAGTATTACCTAAAGTACTTTGCACAGCCTCAGTGAAAATTAGTCAGAGTCAACTGCTGTTAGATAACTTCTGTATGTTATTGATCATGAGACATTCAGATTTAATAATGTTAAAGTTTGCTATACTATTTTCATTGAAGAAGGAAAAGGCTTGTGGTCATCTTAAGAGGAAATTCAGGAAGGAAATATTAATAGAAGATGTAAGAAATCAATGGGCTGAAGTTGTACTCTGTAAACCCTCAGAACCCTCTCAGCTTTCTAGACAGACGTGGAATAGTTATTTACTATTACCTATCCTGTTTGCATTATTTGGGAAACAATTTGTACAAAAAGTAAGGATGAATAAACCAAAACCATGCTTACATGCAAAGAAGTTGATTTATAAAATAACACTATCTTTGAAGGAAATCCTATTAGTGATTCAGACTGCTTCAAACTCATTGCATCTGAGAACATTGCTTCTAAAATTAATTATTTCAATTCACAAGTTTTGTGAATACGACATTCAGGTCAAAATGAGATCAGGCTACAAATTCATTTTAAGGTGGTCGAATGCCACAGAAAGTACAGGGTAGCCAATATGACATATAATTTAATAAGATAGTACAACGCTCTCTAGCAATGCTTGCTTACAAAATTAAGCAAGTAGTCCGGTGAGCAATAAAGCTAAGGAAACACCGGTTCCACTGGATCTGATCTTGTTGCTGGCGTCACTGGAGTCTAAAAAAAGTGTTATGTGTATATGCAGGGATGAGTAGTAAGGTCTCTCTTCTCCACCTGACTCCTGTCTTCATGAAATGTAAGATCTTGTGTCTTTCAAATTACCCTTCCACCAGTTGAAAGATTATAGAGGGAAGGAAAACAGAAAAGACTAATTTCCTAGGAAACTCTACTAATATGATTGCACAACAATTTATTATAGTGTTATCACAAAAATTCTTTTATACCTGAGGATCACGTTTTCCTTCCAGAATCTAGTAGTAAAGGTCTCTTCATAATGTGCTGCAAAAACAAGTCATTAGCAGAAAATCTCTTTACAGACCTAAGAGGTTGCTTATATGTTACTCAGTATGTATTTTTTTTTTCATTAGTAGCCCAAACAAACACTGGGGTAAAGTACAATAAAAGGAGAAGGAGAAATGGCTGTTCAAAGAACACAAGATTTCTCTGTGTTGCATAGTGTTTTGATTTCTATTGTTAAATATTAAGGGGGATGACCAATGGGAAGCATATTTGGTAGCACTTCCCATTTTAAAGGTATCTTCAATGTTGTGTGACCCTTTCACAATTTACTGTACTAAAAAAAAAAAAGTATTTTCTGCCTGGGCCTGCATTTCTAAAGAGCAGCAGAGGGGCTCCAGTAGTATGACTCAGTTATTTGAAAATGGAAGACAGAGAATAAATAGGGGAGAGAACTTATCGCAACAGAAATGGTGTCCGTGCCATTGCTTTCTGTTATTTGTGTTCCAACTAGGAGCGACCAAACTGACCAGAGGCCAGGCAGAAAGGGGAAGCAGGGAGCTTACCCAAAATGCTAAAAATTCCTGTTACATGTTCAGCAAATTCTGTATCGGGAGATACATAGCCAGAAGGGACTGCCCAGGGAGAGGGAGAGCTTTAGCCAAAGCTGGTTACGCATTTAACATGGGACACACAACTCTTCCACATTAAAAAACAAAACAAAACAATCCCCTCCCTCGTGTTCCTCTGGTATATAGCATCGTTTCAGATTTAAAGGACATCAAGCTATTTCCAGTACAAACTGAAAAGACTGTGGATTAGTCTGGATAAGAGTTTTCACTTGTACTAAGACCATATTCAAATCCAGGGATATTAATGATGACATATCTTTATAAGTTCGGGAAAAAGCCTAGAACTAAATTGTGTTATGATTCTGTGGCAATGTTATTTAAATTACCAGGATGCATACGCTCACTGTACCTGTCCCAATTACAATGCCTTTTGTTGACATTTATATACTTAAATGAAGAGATGGAATATTCCTGTATCTCAGATTATACAGAATAATCAAAAGAATCGAGACATAAATGATTTGCTTTTTGTGGTTAAGATTAGTGAAAAAAGTGCTTCTTTCAATAAAGTGCTGCAGTATTTCCTGCACTTTGGGGGAAAATCAGCAAACAGAAAAACCCAAACATGTGCATGCCTAAAGATGTTTAAAAAAAAAAAAACAAACAAACCCTTTTTCATTATTGTATGTAACATTATCTGCTTGTGCTTATCCAAAGTCTGTTCTTGCTTTGCTTGTGATTGTAACCTCTTCAACATAATCTCTATGTAATGCAAGGGATCAATTTCTTGACAGCAAAGTACCAAATACGAATGTTGTGAAGTACTGACAGGTGGGTTACCACTCAGTTCCACATTTAGGACTGATACACCACACCACCTTTCACCAAGAAATATTTCTATAGCTAGCTAAGGGCATGTAAACAGAACCTGCAGCTGCAGAACCTGAAATAACAAGATATTGCTGTTTTCATCTTAATTAAAACTACCACCAATTTCTAACGCTTCTAAATGCATCTCTGTGTCAGTTTGTGTAACGTTTAAACATTCTTTGTCAGTGTGCATTAAAAGAGACTGTTTTCAAATTATCCTCTCAATGTAAGTAATGGTATTTTGACTATAACTTTTATACAGGCAAATGATGGGCTGTAAAAATGTAGCTGAGCATCCACTGGTGGCCTTTTTTAACAGGGTTCCATGATTTGAATGTATGTTATATGTTCTCCATCACAAAATTTGCTGCTGTTTCAAACTCTTCGGTCATGTTCACCAGTTCTGGAGATTGGGAGAGTTCCTGTTCTGAGGGGATGAGTGTTTGCTTTAACTGTTGCCATACTGACAACTCGCCCAAGACAAGCTTATTTTAAAAAAGCTGTTTCTAACTCCTATAGCTGTGAAAATTTATCTTGAAAAGGTGACATGACTGCTGCTGATTCAGTGATGTGAATCACTCTGAACCATTTATTTTGAGAAGTTTGTGCTACCTGCTAATCTCAGTGAGGATCTAGCTGAGAAATGTAATGATGGCAAATTATAAACTGTTTTTTAAAAGCATTTAGAAACAAATCGCATTGATTTGAGAATTTTTGCTCCTAAATTATCAAAGCACTTGAAAAAAAATTCAGATTAGCTGTTTCTCTGCTAATAATTCTAACATAAGTATCCAAGTAATAAAATTTCCAAATAATCAGATTCTATTTTATGCTTTTCCTTTGAAAAAAAAAGTTTCCGGTTTTTCATTGTAGTTACGTGTTGTCTGTTTAGAAAAATACCCGACAGTGTTACAAAGTACTGGTAGGCATCAAATCATGAGTTCAAGGGTCCTACAATGTTTGAACTCGTATTTGTTTGACTTAAAACTGTACTACAGGACCATGGCACGCCACCACCACCACAAGTGAGCTCTGCTTACCTCCCTGCACACCTTTCAGCCTGCAGTTCAGCAGACACACTCCTAGACAGAACAACCTCAAGGCTAATCTGGAGCCCCGCTGAAACAGCCTCTTCTGGAGCCTGTGTCTGGCTGAGAAATGGGCTTAGGAACAGGAAAAATCTCAAGAAACTTTATAATTAGCCTAATGTTTATCTTGCCTGCTTCTGTGTGCAGAAAATACAACTACTGTTGGAATGTATTTTAGAGATCCACCACAGACTCGTAAAAAAAATAATCTTCCCCACAATATAGTTATGAGAAATAATCAGACAATGGGGGAAATAATTATTTTCTTAATGTCTGCAGAGTACTCAGAGATTATAATATAAAAGACCCTATAAAAGACCACAGAAATGTACACATTTACTATCTTTGTAACTTCTAAGTATGCAAATTTCCAGATGTCAAACGTTATATTCCTGGATCATTCCACTGAGTAAAATAGGCATCTGAATGGCAAATGTTTTTTAAGTTGTTCTCTCATTTGGCCAGACACCAGGTGTTCAGAAAACTTAGGTCAATACCAAAGTTTGTGTCTTATATGAAAGCTAATGAACACCAGTACCTTCTAGTAGAAAGTTCTCCATTTTTAGAAAGACAAAAATAAACTAAGCGGGGATAATGACATTCAGTGAGTTTTGAGGTAGACTTTTAACTAAAAATTAATTAAGAATCCTATGTAACCACTTGTTTTTTCAAAATTCAGTCTGAGGTTTAATATTATCAGCCTTCTCTGCTGCACACTGAAAGTTGAAGTTTGGCTGCATCATTTACATATCTTCGTTTACTGTTCCCTGCCAAGGGGGCATGATTCTGTGTGACTCATTCATCCATTAAAATAAAACTTATTTCAATATTAACTTGGGCCAAAACAAATCTGACACATGGAGTTTTCTGCAGTTTTTAATTTAAATGGCCTTCTGGCAGGACAGTCATGACAGTTTAGCATTATTTGGCTTTATCAAACTATTCTTTCTTACAACTGCACATTATAAGAACATCCTATAATGACAGGATTTTTGGATTAGTAATTTTAAAATAAACATTATAGTTTTGTTTGGCAATCACTGTTTTGATTGTACAAGTAAAAGGTTCCACATCATACCGCTTGCCTATTTTTTGTAGATTTGAAACCTATAGTTCATGCAACTGAAAGACGCATGAAGAAAAAACACGCAATGAAACATTATTCATATTCAAAACATGGGGAAAAAGACCATCTTTTACCTTTTTTCAGCAAAACCATCACTCCTCTCTGCAGGTCTTGTGACTCTGAAGGTTTTCTTTTTTTCCTAACGAAATCAAAATCCAGACAGGGATTATATTCTCTTGCTGGAAACATGTTACCATCAGCACTGTAACTGCAAATAATTATTTTTAAAGCAGAACTGCTATTCACATTTGCCTTAATTGCTGAATATTCATTTAACTTACTTTGTCCACTTCAAAAATTCATGGTTATTTTTTGAGACAGGGGTATAAATTACTGCACTGCAAAACTTCCTATCAATCAAGAACAAGCTCTGCCTTTTGGTACGTGCACCTTTAAAGCAAATATACTTTGGTTTTACTCAGGAGTTGTGGTTGAAAAGCAAATGAGTGTGGAGGCAAAATGAATTTGGATAGCAAAACAGTTTAATCATGGATATTGCAATTTTATCAACTACACCACTTTACTATCACTTGGAAGACATGACGTGGTCTGGGAGACAGCGCAGTGGTTCCAGCCATGCAGTGCATGCTTCTGGGGTCCCCTGGCCTCACCCCCACTCCCTGAGGCTGAAGGTGATCCCAGACTCTGGTGCAGGCTCTTGGGGTTCCCCCCCCAGCACCTTTTCTGTACTATGTTTACCTCTTAAGTGTCCTCAGCTACAGGACCTCACTGATGATTAGACCCTTCAAGCCATTTTCCATT